CAATGGAAACCTCACCCTTCCTTCCACTTAAATCACAACATCTACTCTTAACCATAATATTCTCACAAATGACATATCACTTAAAACACCCATGCATCCAAGCCACTCTTCAAGCTTGGAAAGATCTTTTATCCACAGATTACGCAGACTCCAAACAACTCCATACCCCACTCAACATACTACACTCCATTACACCCTCCTTAGATTTAACCCAGTGGGAAAAATGAAACATACATCACATAGCAGACCTTTACAAAAATAACATCCTACACTCATTTCAATATCTTCACACCAAAGTTAACCTCCTGGTCGCTGAATATTTCACCTACCTACGAATCATCCACTGCATCCAAACGAACAAATATACCCCAAACCATAATAATCCCGGCTATGGCCTACACTTATTTCTCCAAACCGCATTACCCAAGTAAAGGCATCTCTACCTTCTACAAATATTTAACGGACCTACAATTTACCTTAAAATCTACCTCTTTATCCAATTGGGAAAAAACCCTAGCGGAAACCATCCCAGCCCACTCATGGACTACTGCATATAACTACACTTACAAATCCTCTCACTGCAGAATCTCACTGGGAATCTCACTTGAAAATACATCATCAATGGTACCTAACCCCTGCCAGCTTTGCCATTTTCTACCCAAAACACTCCCCTTCTTGTTGGAGACAATGCGGGAACGTAAGTTCCACTCTTCACATACTTTGGTCTTGCAAATCTATTAAATCCTTTTGGAATAGCGTATTCCAACTAATAGCTGAAATCTCCAAAATAATGATAAACCCCACTCCGGCACTTGCACTCCTACATATCGGTATTAACAAATTCCCATATACCTCCCGTACCATCATGGTCCACATCCTTTTTGCAGCAAAACTAAACATAACCTGACTCTGGAATACCACCACAGCCCCTTCCTTTCAATCGCTAATCTCAAATCTTAACTTCCAATGCGAAATAGAAAAAAGACTGGCCACTAATAACTCCACCCAACATAAGTTTAATTCTTTATGGTCTAACTGGTTACAAAATCCTAACTGCTCCGTAAAACCCTGATACTGTACAAACAATCGTTCAAACTATCCAAGTCAGACTGGTACTCCTCCCCCATTCTCACACAACCTATCCTCCCCCCCTCCACTACCCCACCTATTACTCTCCCCCCTGTTTAATCCCCCTTAATACCTACTACACCTCCTCACGGTTCAGTCCACCCCAAGCATACTCTGATGCTTATGCCGCGCAACTATAGCTCCGACCCCAGCCAAAAGGTGGGGTAACTTTCTAATAAAGTTATATTGTATGCATACAATTTAAACTGAACCTAATGTTTATTTCTGTTAAAAACATTTTTTTTTAAAACTTTCAATAAAAATTATTGAAATAAAAATATGCACTGACACTTTTCTAATGGCTGGAAAAGGGTTAAACATCCATGGTAATCAAGGGGTTAACTGTGTTCCTAGCTATGTGTAATGTTTACTATGTGTGCTGTTTTCACTAGGTAATGTACTGGTATTATTCCCTGCTTGCAGGGAAAGAGAATACAGCACATTGCTGATAACAGAACATAGCACTGCCTTGTTTACATAGCCAGAGCTGTATTCTGTCAGTCTCCTAGACGATCAGCGGGTGCAGGCGCTCATCCATTGGCCGGCACCCACTGATCGGCTTCTGCTGTGACCAATCACAGCAGAAGTGGTGTACCGGCAGCGCGCCCATGCTCCAGCAACCAGGAAGTGCAGAATCATGTTTATATATGTTATTCTGCACAGCACTGCTGCCCTGAAGCAGTATATCTGTTATGGAGTGGTTGGGAAAAGGATATTTTGGAGTATAAGCTCCATTCAGTTTTTAACTTCAAGCATGAAACAAATTATGTAAACATCTAAGGATTTGATACTTTCACACTCTTTTTAAAAGAGACAAAAAGGCTGAAGTTTTTCTTTCAAAATACAGTTAAATAAGAAAAAAATAACTATGTGTAGTTTGTTTATAGCACTTGTTTTAGTCTGCAAGTGCTTTCTGAGCTTTGATTTATGGCATTGTGTGCTGTTGTAAATGGTAAAATGGAAACCGGTGTAGGCCTTCCTTGCCCTACTCACCTTGCACAGCACTGCAAAATATGCTAACACTCTAAAAATCAATAATCATTATAAAATAAATTTTATTTCTACATCCTAGAATGTATTTCTACATTATATTTTTTCATTATCAATACTTCTAGATAAAATTTTAAGGATATATAAAAAATACTGGTTAAAATAAATATAAATAACATATTAGTGTACAACACAAAACTTCGCTATGTGAACACAAAGTATGTGGCAAAATATCATATTTCTTTGACCTCACTGGAAAAGATGAGAACCAAAAATATGTCTGACAGTAATAAACTGAATAAAAATCTCAAATAACCACTAATCCAAGAGTAAAGAGATGAGACTAAACGAAATTCTCACTTTTCATCCTGTGCATTCGGTAGCACCTATTTGAAGGCTTCCTCTGTATTGCTACCTCTTATTCTATCTTATGTCTTTTGTTAAATTATTTAGAATGATTCAGGCTGCCAATCAGAACAGGATTAAAGGCATACTTGACTTCTTTCTTGTGTCTTCCACTGACCCGCAACTATCATTTTTTTCTTTTACAAAACAAGAAACAAAAAAGTAGATTTCAAATAAACCACACTACAGTGATGATTTCAAAACTATTTTTATAATTTAATGGAAAATCATTTTTACATTGTTCTACTTGCTATGTGGCTATGCTGTTAAGCAATTGATTTCTTTTTGTTCATTTTTTTCTTCTTTTATGGTACAAAAAAATTGTGCTTCAAGTAAAAATTTCTGATGGGTGAATGTTTAAAAAATAAAATTCTTTCTACAGATACTTCTGTCTAATATTTATGGAAACAAAGAACAGACAAATGACAGAAACTTGAACAAAAGAATCATTGCATCATGGTCCTTAAGGACAATATTTTTCATCAATTAATTCTGAATGTTTGTCAAGCTAGCAGTTACTTGATAAAAATATTAGTTGTATAAATTACTTATATGTACTTATGATATGTTTTTCCTTTACAATTATTTTTTTTAATAATTATTTCATATTCAAGGTTAGAAGGTCTCTAAAGGAAAAAAGTATGTATGATCAATATAAAATATTGCATAGCATACAGTCCACAATAATGACAGTAGTTTATAATAAATAACTGCAAGACAGGTAGAGTGGTAGCCCAAGAGGCTGAGTTTGAATCATGGTGTTCATAGTATAGTGTATGCATGATGCCATGTTTTTTTGGTGTCTCCTCCTAAAAGCTCCAGGCATTGATTTAATGGAAGTTCTGATGAGCAAGAAAGGATATAGCAAGATGAACATGCATATGCTATGTGGAAGTATAGAGATGTATGGGTTGGAGAATCCTGGAGTGAATGAATGGAGTGATAAAATAGAGGGAAGGTGAAAGAAAATAGTAAGAATATAGGGTTGAGGAGATGAGGGGCCTAAAAAAAGTAGAAGGGTAGAGGGGTGGGGGAGAAGAAAAAAGGTGGAGGGAGTACGAGGTGGGAGAGAGGTTGTTAATGGTTGCATCGCCAGGGCCAAGGGATATAATATTGACTGAGCCTTTAATATGTAGAGATACTTTGTTAAGCTAATTTAGTCAGCTTATGGGGTCCATACCTACAGGAACTTGTGAATAATGTGCAGCAGATCTTACATTTTTATTTATAATTGTACTATTTACCATGTGACTACTTTGACCAATCACAGCTAACAACACAATTGTATACAATGAATGGCATGACATGAAGCCAACCATTGTATACAATTGACATGTGATCTGCTGTGATTGGACATGACACTGGCAATGGGCTGGTGCAGTGATATGCCATGGGCTGTGTCCCGTGGACACAGCCGGTAACAGATCGCGCTGCTGCATGGCCCATCGGCCGCGTGAGCGGCTCCTTTTGACAGGACTTCATATGAAGCCCAGTAACAAGGAGGAGTGTCCCGCCTGGCTGTCAATCTGCTATAGGCCAGGTGGGAAGGTGTTAAAAGAGAAGTATGGGTTACTTTTTTTGCAAATTCTGAATCCTGGTGAGCTGCTACTATGACAAACGATTTTCTGTCCTCTAAAATGTACACCCTTTCTCCTGAAATCAAAGAAAATACCTGTGGAAGGGCTGAGGTCTCTCATGCAGTGTCACCCCGACATTGAAGTCGGTATCTACCCCCTTCTTATGACTTACATTGGCTCCTGACAGTCTGCACGCTCCCGAGATGTCAGCAGAGCTTCAACTCTTCTCACACTCCCCCCCTCCTCCCCTATCCCATCCAGGCTGTTGAGTTTTGTCACACACAGGCAGCTTCTCTCCCCCTACTCCCCCCTCCCATCTTCTTTATTTTTTTTTTTTTTTTGGGGGGGGGCAGATATCTAGGGCTTCCTTTTTCTAAAGAGGGATTTCAGATTCTAAAAAATCCTAAAAATCCCAATTTTCCTTTTGGTGACAGGATGTGGGGATAATGCCCTTTGCTGTATGCCAAAGATCCTTAAATTCCAAATTACTCATTTTTGAATGTCCACAGTCAGGGCCACACACACGCACTGAAAACCACTGAAGGACAATTGGAGGAATTTATACAGGCTCTGGTACAGAACACCCAGGCCCAGCAGGAGGTTGCTGCAGAAGCAAACTGGAGCCATGAGAAAGTTCAGGCCCACCAAGAACAGGCATTGGCCTTACTGATACAAGCCCACCAAAAACAGACAGTGAAGCTGGAGGAGAAAAGGAAGTCTGTGCAGGCACAGTTTGATGTGCTAGTGATCCATCTAAAATGGATTGTTGCCCCTGACAACCCTGGACAATGAGGGCCAGACATTTTTTTGCGAAAACTGACTCCTCATGATAATTTGGAGACCTTCCTGACCACATCTGAGTGCACGTCTGAGAGGAAGGGGTGGCCTCAAGACCAGTGGGACCAGGGTCGGACTGACCATTTGGAAACTCAGGCACTGCCCGAGGGCCCGGGGTCAGTAGGGGACCCCTTGAGATGCCCCTGGTACCTTTTTCATAGGCTTTTTTGAGTTTGGGCAAGGACACAGGGGCCCCATGATCCCCTATTGCCCGGGGGCCCCATGAGTTGTCAGTCCGCCCCTGAGTGAGACAGTCTCTTTGAACCATTCCTATAAATGGACCACAGAAGGCCTTTTATTACCTGCCAGGGAGAGATCGTAGCCTGCTTTAGGGTGACAATGGCTATCTGGGCACACTGGATACACTGCTGGAGGTATCGTTCAGTCACCATGGCCCCAAATGCAAGCAGGACCTATTACAACTGCCAACCAAGTGGTTACAGCCTGAGAAGTTAGAGGCACCACAGGTTGTAGAACAGGTTGTCATGGACCAAGACTTGTGGGTGCTACCTAATGAGCTGCAGTTCGATGACTCCTGCCAATTAGTGTGAAGCCACACAAAAACCTAAGCACTCAGAAGAGCCAAGGAGCAACCACCCCAGTATTCCAGAGCCAGATCCCAGTGTCATTCCCAGGGGCCATGTCCAGGCTCAATGTCCCTCCCAGGAGGAGCCCATGAAGTATGGAACTGTATGGAGGATGTCTTGTTATTCCCAGAATGTCTGTGCTGCACACCTGGATCAAATAGAGGGGCAGTTTGAGTATGACATTTGGGTAAACCAACTCCACACCTGAGCGCTGCTGGATTCTGGTAGTGTAACATACCTGATGGAGGAGTCTGAAGTGCTGAGGGAAGGCCTCTCTTACTGCCCTGGTTTAGGAGCCCCTGGTGACAGAATTCCAGAGCATGGGCTGGCAGGAGTGCCTGATAGTCTCTCGCTGATGATGCTGATGTGTCATCAGAAGAGCAGAACCCCAGGCCCAGATAGGCTGGTAGATGAACTGAAACTGATCCTGACACAAAATGGCAGAGGCAGCTGAAGAACAGGCAAAAGGCAGGGTCCTGGTCAGCAACTAGAAAGCAGATGAGGTACAAGTGGTAGTCAGAAGTCAAGTCAGGGTCGGAAACAACATTATATGACAGCAACAGAATCAAGGGCAGACTGGGCCAATAACAGAAGATCACGCAGTAACTGGTATCAGGAACACAGGAATGCAATAGACCAAATGGCACTGACAGACTGCAGTAGTGCAGTTTAAATAGTTCCTGTGGCACCACTGAGAATTCGCATTCGAGCATGTGCTCCCGCTCACACACCCGTTGGCACACATGCCCGGCCATTTGCAGTCCAGCCGCAGGCAGAGTTCCTTAAATTCATTTGCCTGCTCACATGGGGATTCCTTTCCTGACAGGTAACATGGAAACACTTGTCCATATCAGGGTAATTTGGAGAGTCTTTGCCAATTCTAATCTGGCTCTTTTTGCCATACATGCAGCTAAAGGAAGACGCAGAATTTTTTTGTTTTTTGTTTTTATTTTTCTGATTTTACTTTCATGATTGACAATGTGTTCTCCATGATATAAATGTCTACCTTTTCATGATCCATGTGATCTTAATAAAAATAAATGCATCCACTAGAATAGTGAATTATTACTCCGCATGGAATTAATTATTTACCACTTTTGTAGCAGGTCTGCCCTTGTCAGCTGTTAATATCTATTTAATTTGGAGAGTAGGCCCTGGTTCTAAGACCCTATGGGTGGCGTGTATACATAGGAATACTAAGGAGTACATGCTGGTGCTAGTAACAACCACCACTGCCTGTGGCACAATCACCTGAAATGTTGGTGTGGTACCCAACCTTGTACTTGAAATTGTCGTGGGAAGGAACTGCCCTTTGTTCATTGAGGTCTGGGATTATGTGAGCAAAGTACAACTTGCACAGGGTACCATTTAGTTCCCTTTGATGGGCTGGACACTGGGACTATAAAAAATTCTAATAGTGTTGCACATGGGGCAGATGCTCTACAGACTAAGGAGTCCTTTAGAGAGAACCCTCTCTTATGTCAGGTCATGGTTGTGGAAAACATGGACATAACCTGCAATGGGGAGGTTTCCTCTAAGGGGGAAGGTTCCTCTCATCCTGCCTACCCTAACCTGGAAGTGTCATGGGGTACATTTAGTTCTTCTCAAATGAGGGACCAATACCTAAGAACAGGTTACCATGATTAACCACTTGACCTCTGGAAGATTTACCTCCTTTCATGACCAGGCCATTTTTTGCAATACGCCAATGCGCTACTTTAAGCAACACTGTAAACAAAAATGAAATTTATATAATTTTTTTCTCACAAAATAGAGCTTTTTTATGGTATTTGATCACCACTGGTTTTTTTTGCACTATAAAGAAAAAAATATTTGAGAGAAAATATCAATTCCTTTCGAAGCTAGACATAGCATCCAGCACTGATTCCATCATACTGTGTATTGCAGATGTTACATATCAGGCCAGAGGATTGTTGGACTACTCTTTCCTAGTCACTTGCATTCATATCTCACAGCCCTCTAAATGCCCCATCTGGGGAGTCAATCCATTTTGGTTATGTGTGCTCTGGCAGGGAGACACCATTAAGGGATTTCTTGCGGAATTTTTTCACAATAATAAATCATCTGCATCACCTCTTGTTGTATGGGATGCTAGGAAGGCATACTATAAAGTGCTGTTAATTAAGGCTATTAGTGTATACAATAAATCTAGTAGGGAATGGGAGAGTTTCCTGGCAGATGAAGTCCTTAGAACTGAAGAGAAATACTTGCCTGTCCCCTCCCCCCAGTTCCTTTGTTCTTGAAAGGACGCACAATTGCTTTCCAAACATACAGTAAGTTACATGACAAGGCAGAAAGTAAGCAATTTTTTAGTAGATGCCAGTATTTTGCGGATGGTGGAAATACAGGGCACCTGATACTGTAGCCGTGTTTGCCAGCTCTCAGACCCAACCAAATTACATTGCTTCTATTACTAATGCTTCTGATATACTTACTCATGATCCTGTTGAGATATCCGGCGCCTTCCAATCTTTTCATGGTAATTTATGCTGTAGTAAAATGCAATATCCTCCACAAAAACTGATTGATTGAATTTCTAAGCTCTCTTCGGTTGCCAGTCTTGATGGTGGTGGACAAGACGGTGGGTGAGGCCCCTACTAATAAAGCATCAGGCTTGGATGGTCTCCCGTTTGAAATGTATAAAACATATGGGGAAATGTTATAGGAACTGCTAGCAGTTCTGAATTCTGCTTATGAACTTCATCAGCCTCCAGAACCTATGAAAATAGCGGGTATTATTGTTCTCCCTAAACGTGGAAAGGATAGTTTACACCCAAAATCCTATGTTTCTATCTCCCTTTTAAATCCTGATGTCAAGTTGCTAGCCAACGTTCTAGCTAATAGACTTAGTAAGGTCATGCAGAAACAGGTACATCCAGATCAATCAGGGTTTATACAGATCAACAGCAATTAACATCCACAGCTGCCATCTGACAATATGGGTGATAGGGCCATACAATCATTAGACGAGCGGACTAATTTTATTCAGGTTACTGCTCCACCTATAGACTGGCTAGAGTCTATTACAGACTGGAGAAGTCTTATCTCTTCCCTTTATAGATCATTGTTGAATAGTTCCCTTGGTAACCTACAGCTCCCTGGTAGGACAGGCTGGGCTAAGGATATTGCTTCACTGGATGGGCAAACATGACAGGCTATTTTGGAACTTCTGGTATCTATATCACAAACCCAATGCCTATCTCAACTTTTTGTCATAAATAAAGCGTATAGAACACTGCTCAAATTATATCAATGGCACCATAGAGAGAGCTCAGAATGTTCTAGATGTGGAGGTTCGCCCGCTGACTTTTTTCAATTGCTCTGGAAAAGCCCCAAGTTAGTATGTTATTGGCAGGGTATTATTGTTACCATTAATCAGGCTTTTCAATCAAATATGTAACACAATAACCTGTAGACATGTGTACTAGGTTTCTTAGGGATCATTTAGACAAGGAATTTATTCTCAAGCCCGTACTATCTCTAGGTTACTGTTTTTAGCCCACAAATGTATTTTATTAAAATTATTGTCTACGATCCCCCATTCTTTCAAGGATTGAAGAGCGCAAGTTAATTCTAACCTGCTGAAAGAATGACAAATTCTGTTACAAAGAGGTACCCCTCATAAATTTGACAAGCTGTGGGATCCATGGTTACAGGTTCCAGGATTGGCTCCTTTGTCATTAGTAACTTTGCAGATTTTTCAATGTTAATTCTATTTTTGATTTTGTTGATCAACTAGATTTTGTCATGTGGGAGGTGGAGTGCCAAAGACATGTAATGGATAAACATCAGAGTGTTATGATTGTATGAGACATGGGCATATCAGAGTTACTACTCTTTACTGTTGTACTTACAGCATACTGAAGATTGAATATTGCGTTTCTAAGCATGGATGACTTTAAATAAAGTCATAATTATATTAAGGCTGTCACAATGTCCTCCTTACTTTGTAAATTGAACTTTATTTTGGTTATTGTTCTTGAATAGTGCTAAACATCCTATGTACCACTACTAGAGAAATGTATACAGTGTTTTGTTTTAGATTGTTTTAGGTTTTGGTTTTTTTTTTTTTTTTGTAAAATTGCAAAAAACTTTGAATAAGCAAGTTATTTGAAAAAAAAATAAATAAAACTAAGGAAGCAAGAGAAAAGACTGCATTTTCCACCCCAGAAGGTCAGTTTCAATATAAAAGAATGTTACTCTGCTTGCATTCTTCCCCCACTACTTTTCAGAGAGCGATGGATAAAATCTTATACCCAGAAATACACCTCAGTATATTTAGAAAACATTGTTATCTTTAGTACTGACTGAGAGTCCCATCTTCCCTGAATGCTGGCAGTCTTGAACCACTACTCCGGAAAATGTGTAATTGCATGGAAGAAGCCAAGTACCTGGGATACATTGTAGGTAGGGGTTTGGTGAAACCGTCAGATGATTAAAGTAGAAGCTTTTAAGGCTTGGTCCCATCCTGTCATTAAGTAACAGGTCCGAACCTTTCTGGGGATTGTGGTGTAGTACAGTAGGCTTGTCCCCAACTTCACAATTATTGCTGCATCTCTCACTGGCTTGACAAAGTGTAAGAAATCAGCTATGGTTAAGTGGAATGATAAGGCTGAGGAAGCTTCCCGGAGCTTAAAACAGCCTTATACTAGTATGCAGTGCTGTTTGGACAAATTATTTTGAAAATCCCAGAGCAAACAGATGCATCCAGGAAGGGCTCTTTGCCCCAAGGGGTTAATGGAGAGGAACACCCACAGTCTTTCTTAGTAGAAAATCAACAGCTACTAAGAAGAATTACACAGTAGTACACCAATTAAGTGGGCTCTGAACTCACTATGCTATTTTCTCTTTGGCAGGTGTTTGGTGTTGGACCACAATGCAAGTTTACAATCCAAATGCACACGTTCCTGCGTTAAAAATGGCTGTGTGTATAAATGGGTGCTGCAGTAACCGTTGGCTGGAACCGAACAGAATCAGCAAGGGCAGGGGCGGACTGACAACTCATAGGGCCTTCGGGCAATAGGGGATCATGGGGCCCCTGTGTCCTTGTCCAAACTCAAAAAAGCCTATGAAAAAGGTACCAGGGGCATCTCATGGGGCCCCCTACTGACCCCAGGCCCTCGGGAAGTGCCCGAGTTTCCAAATGGTCAGTCCACCCCTGAGCAAGGGAGAATGTCACCAGCACACCGAGGATCACCAATATGGGTCCAAAAGTTTTAATGAATGATCACATAGTTACAGCAAGGCAACGTTTCAGAGTCTTGCAGAACCCCCCTTCATCAGGCATCTTTTTGGAAGATAGAAGCTGCTTGTTGAATGGCCAATATTTATTAGCCTGTACAAACAAGCTTAAAAGCTGTGGTGCCAATCTGTTAACATTTACCTCCTTGGTACCTTCTGGGAAAAAAAGAAATACATTTCTTATTTCTATCTGCAATCTACTTACTCTTTCCTCAGAAAAGACAGATTACAAGTTTAGCAGCAAATCTGTAAATTTTTATTTTATTTATTCTGTGAAAAAAGAAGCTAATTTTTCGCTTGCAGCCTGCTTACTCTCTGCTTCAGAAATTGTGACCTATTTTAATGAAGGCATGAAAAGTGTGGCATCATTCTGTTCAATGTTTTTATTTTTTATATAAAAAGAACCTACTTTCACAGTTCCAGATACAATATGCCTGCTTGGTCACTCAAAAATTGCAGCCTGATCATACAGGCTTAAATTCTGTGGTGCAAATCTGTAACCCATTTCCAGCTTCAGTCTGTGAAACAAGACACTATTTTTTCATTCTACATGCAATGTGCTGGCTCTCTCCCTTAGAATATGTGGCTTATTCAATAATGGCTTCCAAAGTGTGATGTCATCTTCAGTCATTAAATAAAGACACATTTTCCCAATGCAATAGGCCTCAGCAATTGCTCATAAATTGTTGTCTGTCCATACAGGCTTTTATATCTGTTGAGATAAACTGTAAAATGTTGCTCCTAGCAATACTTTTTTTTTTTTCTTTTCAGATGTAATATGTCCACTCAACCACTCTGAAATTGAAGCCTATCCATACAGGCTTAATATCTGCAGTGCAAATCTGTAACAGCTTTCTATCTATAGTACTAAAATTAATTTTTACTGATGCATTGTGCTTGCACTCTCCTTCAAAAATTGTAGCCTGTCAAGTAATGGGTTAAAAGGTTTGCTGCAAATTTGTAAAATTTTTCTTCAGTCATAGAAAATAAATAAATAAATGACTTTTCATGAAATCTACCTGCTCTCTCCTTCTTGAAATAGCAGACTTTAAAAAGGCTTAAAAGTCTTCTCCAAATATGTGGTATTATTTTATGGTCTTCAATCTCAAAAAATATATTTGTAATTATTTTCTTACCAATATATATATATATATATATATATATATATATATATATATATATATATATATATGTCCTGTCAACAAGACGATATAACCAGCTCATTTTTTACAGCCAGTATCAGCTGTTTAGTAAAAGTAATCTGGTTGGCTCTACAACCACCTGATCATGTTTACTGAAGCACACAGTCTGTGCTTGATTAGCATCACTGGAGGGCAAGGAATACATTGGGGTCCTAATTGATCGATGTCTCCATAAAGAGTACCCTGTCACCTGCCCAAAGACATCACATAGGGGGGCTTGTTAGTCCCCTTGTGATAGCAATAAAGTTAAATTAAAAAAAATTAAAAGTATAAAACAACATTTTAATAAAATAAAAAATATATTTGCTAAATAAAATTAAAAACAACCCCCAGAGCAACCCCCCACATGCAATTGGGCAAGAAGGTCCTGTAGGAGCATGTAAACAGCAATCAATCATACTGATTAACTCTGCACTGATAACCTGTAAAGGCTTTTAAAGCAACAAATATTAAAACATTTAGGTACCGGAGTTTGTTGCCATCTTATGGTGAAATTTTGAGTTTTGAGGTGTTTTATTTTTATTTACTTAAAACAACATCATCTTTTATATTTTACCACAAATTGCAATAAATTGTGTTTGCGTGCACTAGAAATCTTTTCAGTATATTTTTTTCTGAAAATTTGCATTGATGAATGGCTGTAAACATCTTGTGGCATTAAAAAAATTGTCACAACCACCATTTTATTCTCCAGGCTTCTGCTTTCAGAAACAAATATAATGTTGGGGGGGTTCTAGGTAATTTTCTAGTGAATAAATTATGATTTTAATGTGTGTGTGAAAAATGAAAAAATTACCCTGGACAGTGAGTGGTTATATACTGTATATAGGGCAGCATGGTGGCTTAATAGTTAGCACTTCTGCCTGGCAGTACTAGGGTCACTGATTCAAATCGCAACTACATCACCTGCCTGGAGTTTGCATGTTCTCCCTGTGCATGCATAGGTTTCCTCCGGGTACTCCGGTTTCCTCCCACACTCCAAAGACATATTGGTAGGTTAATTGGATCCTATCCAAATTGGTCCTAGTATGTGTATGTATAAATGTAAGTTAGGGACCTTAGATTGTACGCCCCTTGAGGGTTAGGGACTGATGTGAATGTACAATATATATGTGTAAAGCACTGCACAAATTGACAGCATTATATAAGTACCTTAAATAACTATATAAATATTACAAAATCTGTGTATTCTCTCTCCTACTACTCTCTCCTTGCATAGCATTGATGCTTAAAAGGAGTATATAATGCCCAACGAACCAGTTTGTTTTTTCTTCCTTGTGACACTGGACACTAATTTAGTTACATACAGTATAACACAGTATAAGTCTCTCTGTCTTCCATTGTGGCCTAAAAGCCACAAAAGCTTGCATAATGTCTGTGAGTGTATGCAATATATATGGCTGCTGTCTTTTAACCACTTGACCTCTGGAAGGTTTTACCCCATTCATGACCGGGGCATTTTCTGCTACTCTGCACTGTACTATTTTAACTAGCATTTGCTTGGTCATGAAACACTGCACCAAAATTAAATATTTTAGTTTTTTTAGACAAATATAGCTTTCTTTTGGTGGCAATTAAGCAACACTGTTTTTTTTTTGCTATGTAAATTAAAAAAACATAAAAAAAAAAAAATTCTTAGTTTCTGTTATAAAATATTGAAAATAAATAATCTTTCTTCATAAATGTAGGCACAATGTAGTCTGCTACATTTATTTGGTAAAAAAACCTAACTCAGTGTATATTTTTAGTCTGTGTGAAAGCTATAGAGTCTACAAATGTTGGTACTTGATCAGTCCTGATGTACTGACAGCTTATTTCTTGAAGCCCTATACTGCCAGGAGAGTACATATACCCCCCAAATGACCCTTTCTGCAAATTAGACAGTCCAAGGTATTTAGTAATGGCATGGAGAGTTTTTGTAATTTTTTGTCACAATTTATTGGAAACTTAAGAAATTAAATATTATTTTTACATGGTGTGGTGGTGATCAAGGATACTGACTGGTGAAGGCTAATCACATGGTACAGGGTGCTGTGATGGGCCCAGGTACCATGTGATAGATGTGGGCCAATCACAGCATCACTGTAGGAATCACAGCTGTAATGAATGAAATTCATCCATAACAGATTTGTTGACATTGTGATCATGTGACCGCATAGAGATCGTATGATCCCCTGGCCACTCAATGCGGGTACTGGGAACTGTAATCCACTGTGTCCTGTGGAAAGCATACCTTATAGTGTCAGGATATACCTTTATTTCCCTTGATATGTCTTTGATATGTCTTTGTATGGCTTTAAAAATAATTACTAGTGATTTTATATATTGATTTATACTATGAAATATTTTATGAAACTAACCTAATTTACTTCTCTTTATGTCTAATGTATATATATACTCATGAGACGTCTGAGTGTTGCAATTCGTGACCACAAGGGACCAGTGCTAATTCTTGAGATGTTAAATCATGAACGTATAAATAAAAAATACATCCAGACAGTTAGGGAAAGTAGAGTGAGAAAACCTAGATGACGTCTAAAATAATCACTGACTGTCTTCAGCACCTGAATTTTGTCACCAGTCTCTGATAAATCGTCACTATCATTTGACCAAAGACTTGCACGTTTTTTGTTATAAATACTCGTGTCAAATCTGTAATACAATGAAACAGTTATAGCATACATTTGGAGTGTGTTCTGATCTGTTCTCCCACATTGCAATTTGTGTCTTCCATATAGGGCTCAATGACTAACTAGGGACAGGTAGCTGTGCATACCTGTACTTCCAAAGAAATTCACAACAGGAAAAACATTTGCCTCCTTCCTGGAATGTTGGTTTCTGCTTTTGGAGGTGACACATTGTTAAACTTTGTACACAATACAGAATGGTGCTAAAATTAACATTACAAGTGACCATGTGACTTGTTTTGCCAGTTTTTGGCAATTGGTATGATGTTGATAGCATTTACAATATTTTTTAAAAGTATATGTTTTGCAATAGATTTTATCTATATTTTTCTCTGCCACATCCAGTGCTCAATTATGGTCTGTCAAAGCTGCATCAAAAAGTAGTTGTCTTTGAAAACTACCAAACAATGCAACCATATTAGGTTGCTGCTGTTGTATGCAAGCCAATTAATAACTTAAAAGTAAACTAAACTATTACATATGCAATCTATGTGATTCCAAGATATGGTATAACATTAGATTAACATCAAGGCTGCTGGAGCATTATTGTAAACAAACAGGCACACACGGTGCCTGAGAGCAGCATTGGCATGAAGTCATTCAAGTGAAAAGTTTAAGTTCCCAGTCTTTCATATGTTCTCAAAGCAGCAACAGAAGTCTCTTTATTAGCCATGTCATCTGGTCTGTTGGCAAGTAAGTCAGAAGCATTAGACTATGTGCCACATAAGGGTAGAGTAAGAATTTATCAACAATGTAGTTACAGGAAAAAGAATAAAAAAAAAACCAGTAGGTAAATGATTACACACACTCATTACTTCTTTGTGTTGCTCTTCAATATTCTTCTCATTCCCCCCTAAGAACTTTTGAAATATAACCCATTCTGAATTCAAGTGATACAGTTCATTAACCAATCATCTTTACGTACCTGAATATGTTCAGGTGGAAACTCTCAAGTTGGTTCATGATTCCAAACTTGCTGGGCATTTTGGAGTTTCTAAGACTGAAGAACTTTTATCGCGTTTCTTTTGGTGGCCGGATTACAAGAAAGATGTCAAATGATATGTGGCCTCATGCCTGACCTGTGCACGCAATAAAACTCCCCGAGCCTCTCCTTTGGGGTTGCTTCAGCCACTCCCTGTTCCATCAAGACCATGGGGGTCGATTTCTATGGATTTTGTGGTTGATTTACGTCCCTCAAAAGGAATGACCACTATCTTGGTAGTTGTCGACTGTCTCACAAAAATGGCCCATTTTGTTCCAGTTAAGGGGGTTCCCACTGCTGAAAATAACTGCAGAACGGATGGTTCGAGAAGTCTTTAAACTGCATGGAATCCCTGATGATGTGGTGTCTGACAGAGGAGTGCAGTTTACTTCAAAATTCTGGAAAAATCAATCTGTCCTCTGCTTTTCATCCCCAGTCTAATGATCAGACTGAGAGAACTAATCAAACAATAGAGCAGTATCTTCAATGCTTTGTCACTTATCTTCAGGATGACTGGGTGGACTGTCTTCCCACTGCAGAGTTTGCATACAATTCTAAACATAGTTCCACTTCTCAAAGTCCCTTTTACTTAAACATCGGTTATCATCCAGTTTTTATTCCTGATCTCCCTATCACAACTCCAATTCCTGCTGTTACCAACAGACTAACTACATTGCAGGAGATTCAGGAGAAATTGATTGAGAATTTGAGGGAAGCTCAGGAATATTACAAAAAGGCTGCTGACAGACACCGAAGATCACTTCCTACGTTTCATGTGGGTGACAAGTTTGGTTATCAACAAAAAATTTTAAGGTCCATGTTCCATCTGCTAAGTTGGGTCAAAAGTTTGTGGGTCCTTTTCAGATTTCTGCCCAAATCAACCTGGTCACCTTTCGTTTAAAACTTCCAGACAGGAGGATTCACCATGTTTTTCACATATCACTACTCAAACCGTTTTTATGAGAATCGTCCACCCGTTGAGGTATAGGGTGAAGAAGAATTTGTGGTGGAGAAAATTCTTGATTCCAGGATCTTTAGGAACAAATTACAATATCTGGTTCAATGGGAAGGATATGGGCCAGAAGAAAATTTTTGGGAGCCTGAGGAGAATGTTCACGCCTCTAGATTGACAAGAGAATTCCACCAGAGGTTTCCTCACAAACCTGGCCCTAAGATGTCCAGAGGATGTCCTGGGAGGAGGGGAGTACTGTCAGAGCCTGGACTTGAACCTGGGACCTCTACTGTGTCAGGCAGTAACTCTTCTCACTGAGCTACCTGGGATGCTGGACAACACTCTGCCTGATCTACTGGACAATCCTGCCTTGTGCCTTGTTTTCTGATGAACCTTGAACTCCTTGCTTCTCCCATGAACTTCCTGATTTAAGCCATGTCTCTGCACTTCCTGGTTGCCAGATTATTGTGCCTTCTCTAGCCAGTATCTCGCTTGTCTCTCCTGCTGCCGTCCATATCTTCGTTACCGACCTTTGGCTTGTTCCTTAACTATGATTCTGCCTCATCCCAACTTGCTACCACTTGTTACCGACCCTTGGCTTGTTTACTGACTACACTTCCGCTAGATCCCTACCTGCCATATCAGTTACTGGATTCTGGCTTGCTCATTCCCTGGTGGGGTGATCCTGAGAACTGCGACCTGGTACTAACATGCAGCAAAATCCATCTCTACCATCAGGAGCTCTGGTGAATACTGGTTAGTGCTTAGAGCCCGCACCTCAGGTGAGCCTGCGTCATTTCCCAGAGTGACGAGATGTTTTAGATTTTTTGGTGACAAGGGTTTGGAGTCATCTGAAGACACGTAAATTATGTTTTCATCATCCAAGTCAGGCACCATCTTAGCTGTGCCTCTGTTGTGCAAGCCATGGTCATTAAGTTGTTGTAATTAAATGTTTGTGATCAGGCCCATCTTTCTGGTTGTAAGTGGTTTCAGATGCTGAAAATCAGTTCTGAGAGTGAAATGTAGCCATTTTTCAGCTAATTCATTGGTCTTTTTTCTCCCAGGCAGAGTGAAGCAAACTCAAGCCACAACCATTTTGATCTGCTGCATTTTTACAAAGTTGTTTATTTAGTTGTATTTTGTTACATAAAAATAGATGATGTATTTAAAAACATTCACACTGTTTCCAAAAACATTCACTAGTCTAATTCAGTTGCATAATTGTTGCAACAAATAACACACTTCAACATAGCACTTACTGTACTGTTTGCTACAACATGAATTTTGCACATGCTCTGCCAAAATAATTGCATTTTACAGTGCAAAATTTTAAATTCTGTATGGGTGCAAACATCGGTGGACTGACAACTCATGGGGCCCCCGGGCAATAGGGGATCATGGGGCCCCTGTGTGCTTGCCCAAACTCAAACCACACCCAAAAAAGCATATGAAAGGTACCAGGGGCATCTCATGGGGCCCCTTACTGACCCAGGACCCTTGGGCAGTGCCCAAGTTTCCGAATGGTCAGTCCGCCCGTGGGTGCAAAATTGTTTGTTGAACAGTTTGCTTTTTTTTAATTGAAACGCTTACAAAATGATACAGGCCCTCCTTCAATAATACAATCTCAGCACACCAAGCATATGGTATTGTTTCTCCATGGCAAAGGGTATAAGGTCCTCCAAAATTATAGAATCCCTCAAAAAAGGGGGTACATTACCCAAAATCACCATTGCAATTCTGATGGGAACTGGGCTCTTAGGCACCCCTGATGGCCAGGATATGAAGTTGGCACAAGGACATTTAATATGCAATCAACCTATCCCATATAGGGGGCAAATCAATTCTGGATGTAGTTATATACAGTAAATGGTTACAAAAGCACAAACTATTCAAAAATACCAAAATTTTTAAATGCAACTGTCAAATCTCCAATGATGATCAATAGCACCCTGTGATAAGTCTAACCCTCTGTGCCCCTCCTACATGGAGAGTAAACATTCAGCCTTTCACATTTTTTAGTATCCAGTCAAAAAGTGAAAGAGATCCTGGCCAAGGAATAGTTTCAAAATGGTGAACTATTTAACATCCCTAACGGTATTCCCGAGTGTAGCTCGGGGTAAAATGTCTGGACCAAAAGCGGTAACCCCGAGCTACACTCGGGCTTACCATGCGGCGCTACATAGGGAGTCCCTGCAGAGCTTACCTTGTCCTTCGCTCCCGCGATGTGTCCCCGGCAGCGTCCCCGGCCATCTCCTCCGGCTGATGCCGGCATCCGGCTCCTGTGTTAGAGTCCCTGTGACGTCGGGACGTACGGGCGCCGGCGGGAAATTTGAAAATTAAAAAAAAATGTCATTTTTTTCAAAACGATTTTACATAGTAAAACATTGCTGTTTCAACCCATTTCACATACATTTTGTTCCTAGTGCTCTGTCCTGTCCCCTGTCTGCATTTTGAATGTTCTTTCTGCCTGGAAATTTAGAAAAGTCCATGGCGTCCAAAAAGTGTCCCTTTAGGTCAAAAGCGGTTTTAGACCAGCTAGAGAACAGCGATAGTAAATCAGAACCACTTGCAGAATTGAGTGATAATGATTCGTGGGGAAATTCATCATCAGACACTGAAAATGATTTTGTGACTTTGCTCAGCAATGTGCGAACTTGGCGCTATATTTCAAATTTCAGTGTTTTTGGTTTGATTATATTATTGAATTAAATGTATTATTATATTATTATTTTTATGATTATTTATTAAATTATAATTTATGATTTTGTGTTTCAACTTTTATCATACCCGGGATGTTTAATAGACTCTTGTTCGTACAGATTTCAGTGAGTTATTCCTAAATATTACAGCCTACAATAAAAAAAACTACATATTTCCATGCAAAATAATGGTGTACCGCTTTCAGCACCAAAAATCTGAAATAATCATACCGCCAGGGAGGTTAAAGAGAAATTCCACTTTTGTTGCTGGAGACCCACTCCTCTGTCCCCCTTCATTACTTGGCGTTGTCAAAAACTGTTATAAATGACTCATAGCAGAGATGTTAACAAACTTTAGAGAAAATTCTTACCTATGTTTCTGTGAAGAAATAGTTTTCACCAGACTGACTGTATACTGATTCTTAATAGGAGTAGCTGGTTCATTATATTCAACTGGCGCACATTCTGTGTTCAAATGGGAAAGCTGCAGTTCCTGCATCCCATTAGAATTAATTAACCCTTGAGGAGTATCTCACCTTATTTCCACCTTATTACAAAGCATGCCTAAAATTTTACACAGCTTTTCTGAGCTTCAAGAGGCAGGGGATGAGGATCTTACATCACACACTGCACAGCTCAGAGAGGAGAGCTGGGTGTAATCTGAGACCTGAGTGGAGGATATGGACACACGTCCCTCTACACAATCTCTTGGGGAAACATGCACAGCTGAAGCATGCTCTTAAATCACAGGCTGTGTGCTGGAGACCCACTCCTCTGTCCCCCTTGATTACTTGGCGTTGTCAAAAACTGTTATAAATGACTCATGCAGATGTCAGAGGAACAAGGTGTCAAACAGAAATCACAATAGGTGCTTTGTATTGAGGCAAGTACACGCGATATAAAGATGTGCTTTGTTCGTTTTTCATGGCAGAAGTTTTCAACCACTTTAAATAATTTCTTAAAATCTAGGCTTATGGGTTTAAGTATTTCTTTACATTTAACAAGTTACCCTGCTAAACATGTATAGTTATATCAATGTATTTTCTGATATCAAATGTCAGTATCTGAATGTATTATAAAGTTGTAGCCATCATTTGTTATTTTAGTGTAGTTTTTTCCATGTTACCAATGTGCAGTAATAGATCTATGGCATAAATTTAATCAGAAGATATCACTGCTACTATCATTACAACTTGGAAATTTCATTATGAATTCATGGACATATCATCACTGAAAGATTGGTTCAAGATGAATACAGATTAAATGCATTATCTACAGTACGTATCAATACATCTTAACACACAAGATGTAAAAAGCAAAATAAAATTGTCAGTGGCAGCAAAAAGCCTGGCAAAAAGATAGCAAAGGAGGCAAAGGTTTGCTCAAAAGCTGCAGACGTATAGCATTTTGGCTAAAACCAATTATACAGTTTCTACAAAATCCAGATGTGTTAATGTGCTCTGTTAAAGATTCTGGCAAAGCACATCAAAATTATTTTTCGTAATAATATAATAACAGATGTAGATCTGGCTAAAGTATCTGCATATCTGAAGATGAAACAAGCCAGAAATTAGAAGGAAAAGGCAACACCCTCCACAGAGCCTAAAACAGAGAATGATATCTTCATAATTTGAAACATGCAACAGGGGGTTTACTAATCATTTACATGTTTGTTATTAAACTGCATACAATATTCCTTTAAAAAGTATTTACCCTCTTGCAAGTATTCATGTATTGTCATAGAACTTTGAAACGATGAAGCAGAGATCAACAAAAAAGACTGTTTCATGTCAAAGTGAAAACAGATACCTACAAAGGGATCTAAAACTAATAATGAAAAAACATAAAATAACTAAAATATATAACTGTATATTGTGACGTGTTGGGGTTTTGTAGCTCAGTGGTAGCATTAATACAGTGAGTCTGCTCCACGCCAGAAACAGTTTTCAGGGCTTCCCTGTCCACTTTTTTTTTAAAGAAAGTAAAGTTATACAGATATGTCTTCCCATGCAGGGGGTTCTCACCATCAATGTGAACAAAACAAGACATTCAGCATCCTGGCTCTCTCTTACAGCTTTACTGTTCTGATTAATACCTCTTGGTAATACCTCTTGGTCCTCCTGACCCTTACTGCCTTTTTGGTCCTCCTGACCATTAAACACCTCCCAGTGTTCATGCACAGATGCTGCTCATCAGCTTTGGGTCTTTCCTTGCAGCTCCCTAGCTGCTCTGTCTTTAATAGATGCTCTCTCAGGCTCAGGGCTTGGTCTCTCCCAAAATGGACAGTCTGGTGCATAGCAGCACCTCCCACGACTCTCTTTACACACTGACCCCCTCGGGAGGGTGGGGCCTTGAGCTCTATCTCTGGCTGTTATATGAAGCCAGCACACACCTGTGCCATTAGTGTGCTTGCCTCGTACAAAATATGGCATAAAACACCATTTTAACCACTTGACAACTGCGCTACAGCCAAATGACAGCTACAGCACGGGTGTCCAGTCCTAGAAGGGCGTCATATGACGTCCTTCCAGAATGCACCCTCCCATGCGTCCCCGAGGGCGCACAGCTGGCGATCTCCACGATCACTGTGTCCTATGGACACAGCTGATCATATGATGTGGTAAAAGGCCAATCACAGAGGCCTTTTACCATGTGATCAGATGTGTCCCATTGTGTCATTACACAGCAGATCTCCGGTAAATGCAGTTGCCGGTTATCGGCTGCACTTTCCTCCCGCTGTCACAGCATGAGGAAAGTACTGCCAATAACCGGCAATTGTCAGAGGACGGATCGGCCCCAATCAGCAGTGCCACCCACCTGTGCCACCCACCTGTGCCCAGCAGTGCCACCCACATGTGCCCATCAGTGCCTAGTAGTGCCACCCACCTGTACCCAGCTGTGCCACACACCACTGCCCAGCAGTGCCACCCAGCAGTGCACCAGTCAGTGCCCAGCAGTGCCGACAGTCAGTGCCACCCAATAGTGCTACCTATCTATCAGTGCCCATTAGTGTTGCCTATCAGCGCTGCCTATCAGTGCCCATCAGTAATGCCTATCTGTGCCACCTCATTAGTGCCGCCTATCAGTGCTGCCTATCAGTGCAGCCTCATCAACGCACATCAGTGAAGGAGAAAAATTACCTGTTTGCTAAATTTTATAATAGAAACAAAGAAAAACTTTTTTTTCAAATTGTTTGCTCTTTTTTTGTTTATAGCGTAAAAAATAAAACACCCAGCGGTGATAAATACCACCAAAAGAAATCTCTTTTCGTGTGAAAAAAAATTATAAACTTTTCATATGGGTGCAGTGTTGCATGACCACACAATTGTCATTCAAAGTGCAACAGTACTGAAAGCTGAAAATTGGCCTGGGCAGGAAGGGGGTATAAGTGCCCAGTAGGCATGTGGTTAAACAATAGCATGGGGTCACTCTGCCACAATATATACATGCCTATCCAGTCACTATTTAGTAAATGCACCTTTTGGCAGTAATTACAACCTGGAGACTGTGTGGGTAGGTCTCTGACAGCTTAGCACATCTGGGCACTCTAAATCTTCCAAGGACCTGCTGTCTCCACCATGTCACCACCTGCTGTCACAGTGGGGAAGGTTTGTTTATGATGATGTGCAGTGTTTGACTAATGCACAATATGCACCACAGAGCACAATTTAGTTCTCATCATACCACAGAGGCTGTACTCACCTGACTTTAGAATCCCCCACAATCCTTCTAGCAAAGCATATGAAAGATGTCATGTGAGTTTCCGTTAAATTATATAAAAGGCCACTATGTCTGAAAAGGGTTAGCCACTCTGGGCAAGTTTTTTTATTTCTCAGAAAGATAGACAAATGGTATTTCAAGGGAGTTCCAATGGAGGAGTGTAGAGTAGATGATGTTCAGCAGGCCTTTCTCCAATACAGGAGGGCCTTTAGAGCCATTTCAGGGTGGAGTTGAAGGAAGAAAGAAGAGTGGAACTGCCACACTAAGAGTTTACTGTAGAGTCAAAAGGTTGTTAACTTCACTTCCAGCAGTATCTGTACATGTAGCCAAAGAAGTTTGTATTGGTGTGTGTTGTCGTTGGGAAAACATCCAAGAGATTTGCCCTCACTATTGAACATTTTTCAGTGAAACTTTTCACCAAAACAGAAAGTGAGGGGAATCCAGCATTTTGACATTGTCAATAGATCAAGGTAGTGACAAGAACCCATCCAATGAAGACACCTATTCCCTAGTGACAACTGTCTCAGGCTGGGGGGATTACTCTCACTATGGGAGATTTATTCTAACATCCTGTCTTCTATTTGGGACAAGATGCATTGTCTTAACAGTATGCAGGTAGCAAAGATAAAAAAAAATAACCTGACCTGGTTTGTAAGTCTTGCATGCTGCATATAAAGCAAAAATCCTTAATAGTGTCTTTTTTGCCACTCTCTAGTGAAACTAGTGAAGCACTCAATCAACAATTTTTGTACACATAATATTTTACAAAGGCAAGTAACTCCTTCTGAGTTTTCATATGTCTCTTTTCCTGTCTTCCTCACTAGTTTTCTTCTTTTTTTTTTTGTTTTGTCCATAAGGTTTACAGTATGTACGTAGGTCAGAGGTGTTTACCCTGTTGAGAAACACTGGGGGAGATTTACTAAAGCTACTGTACACAGCTGTGCATAGCATCCAATCAGCTTCTAGGTTTTATTAGTAAAACTTAACTGAACAAGCTGAAATTACAGTTGAAGCTGCTTGGTTACTAAGTGCAGATGCAGCAGATTCTGTGTGCACCAGTTGTAGTAAATCTTCCCCATTGTGTCTGTCACCCAAAATCTGGATTCCCTATAATTCACTGTTTATAGTATGGGCCATGTTAAATTTCATCCCCACTTAAGCCTTTACTTTTTTTCAAATGGAGAATTGTTATATCAATAATTTGCCATTGATTCCTCTAGGCAAGTTTCAGTCTACTTCAGTGCCTGGGTTTACATTTATCACACCACAAATTAAGATTTTAGCCTAAAATCCTCATTTACATATACCAAGCCTTGTGACATCTCAGTTTTAACTTTGATAAATAGGTGAATCCCGGTGTATGGTTATAAAGTAAATAACATAACAATAATGTGCTATTTGAAAAGGTAACATGGAGACAAATGTGTTTACTTTTTTTTGTAATTTACACCAGGTGCATCAAGTTGCTTTAACCGCTTCATGTTGGTCCTATAGCAGAAATACTGCTACAGGGTGGCACGGGTGAGCAAAATCACGTGTATATATATACATGATCTTGCTTTTCCAGGTAAGGGGCGTGCTCGAGCGCCCTACCCACGCTGCCATTCGCAGCAGCGGCTGTCAATCACCGAGTCCCGGCCAGCGATTACTCGCCGTCACCCGGTGATTTCCGACGATCTCTGACGGGGAGAAGAACTGTTTTGTTTACTAACTGTTCTCCCTGTCAGCTCGGTCAGCAGCTCGGTCAGCACACTGCTTTGGATGGCTGTGCTGTGCACACAGACACAGCCCCCTAGTAAAACACTCCCAGCACACTGTTAACCCTTTGATCGCCTCTCATGTTAACCCACTTCCTGCCCAGTGCCATTAGCACAGTGTCAGTGCTTATTTTTTAGCACTGTTCACTGTATTGGTGTCACTGGGGATGTCAGTGTCACCAAGTCCATCCCCCCCCGTGTCAGAATGCCCCACAGTCCTGAAGTCCCACTATAAGTCGCAGATCACCGCCATTACTAGTAAAAAAACGAACAAATTCCAGTATCTATACAACCATTTGTAAACGCTAAATCTTTCACGTAAACCATTTAGTTTACACATATAGGGATTTTTTTTTTTGCAGAGACATAGCAGATTTTTAAAAAAATTTTACTGGACATGTTTAATAGCAAAAAGTAAAAAAAATATTGTCTCAAAATTGTCACCTTTTTTTTTTATAGCGCAGAAAATAAAAGCACACAGGAGATCAAATACCAAGCTGTATTCGTGGGAAAAATGGCGCCTGGTCAGGAAGGGGGGTAAATCTTCAGGAGAGAAAGTGGTTAATCTGAATTATCACTGCAGGTTTAATGCAAGGGCACATAGCAAACAATTGTTCTCTGTGTGCCCTGTTCTCATAAGACATGTGCTCTGGTGCATATTTTGTAAAAATAGTACTAGATTGAGTTTATAAACATGCCACCAAGGATCTTTGACTAAGACTATGTTGTCTTCCCAACATATTAGTCCTGCTATTTAATCATATGTTTTGTGCTCAAACAAGCCAAAAATGAATAGACTGAAAAGATTTCTAATATGTTTATTCTATGCACATTAATGTATCCCTAAAAGCAATGTATATGACTGTTCTGGATAGCAATGTTGTTTCTATCATTCTTGTCAGCAGTATTACAGTACAAATTTCACACATACCAAAAGTCAGCCGATTCAATAGGAACAGGCCGACTTTTGGTATGTGTGTACTCTTCCCTATTCAACAAAAGCTGGTCCAATGAACCAGCAATCAATCAGCACTTGCAACCAATGGCTGCAAGTGCTGATCAGTGTATTCTGGCAATAGGGAGTGCCTTCTGTCAGAATACAATAGCACAGTGGGAGAGACCCCTGCATCAACATCCTTGTATTGAAGCAGGGATCCATCAGATTTTTTTTTTTTTTTTGCTCAACCGCTGGTTGAACAAAAAAAAAAAACCCTGTGTATGTATACCTAGCTTAACACTGACAATAAAGTAGCTAGAGTCTAGAATGCTTTATGTTATAGGCAGCTGAGTAATGCAAGGACCATTTAAAAATGGATCAGGGCAGACCTTCAATGGTTATAAGCTCTTTGCTATGCAATGTAAGGCCTAATTAATGCAGGTTAGTTATAAGTATATAATCGTGCTACCACAGCACTCATCGCTTAAAGAAGTATAGGCTTTTTCCTTTTTTTGACTTAGATTATTGAACAAGGTGATGCTGTACGGACTTTAATCATCTTATCATGTGTGATTAAAAACTAGGTTTTTTTTTTATTTTTTCTTTGCCATGATTGGATATTATTTGCAAAGTGAATTTTCACCTATTCCCCTCCTATTTACTAAGCTAAGTGAAAATTCACTTTGTAAAGTGAACATGTTCTATTGCTGCAACATGATTGATATTCACAGTTCTTAATTTGGACAAGTAAGTAATGTATATGACAACTACTATGTAAACACCTCTTTACAATATTTGGCTGCTAAAATGGACTCTGGCTGTATTTACTGCTTTTATAGGTGGTCCCTGTACACTGAGGTTGATTTACTAAAAAACTTCTAATTTGGTAAAGCTGTGCATGGTAGGCAATCAGCTTCTAACTTCAGCTTGTTCAGTTAAGCTTTGATAAAAAACCAAGCTCATTGGTTTCTTTGCAGAGCTGCACCAGATTTTGCACTCTGCAGGTACAGTAGATCAACCCTTATATTGGAATGTGCTATTATGGAGATGATATCGCAGGATAAGTCCACCCTGAGAACTGATGAATATATGAAGCTTATGATTTACCCACTATGGATAGGAGCTTTGTGATACATGTGGTGATTTCCTTTTGGCATGCTCCTGGGATCAAGGCTTCTTGGTGCTGGTGGATAGTGGTGAGCACTAAAAGTGGCTTATTCTATAAAAACAATGCAGGATTGACCTACTTTGTCATTGTATTTATCTTGATAGATTTTTAAAAGTTCTTATTTCTGGGACCAGGAATCCCCAGGATCAGGATACACTTTCTACTTGCTCCTTTTTTTTTTCAAGCTCTTGTGGACCTTGGCTATTAAAGTGGAAAGCATTTCAACTTCCTTGTTTTTGCACACGTTTTTCAGAAAACTTTGTGCTTGAAACTGAGAATCTTTTAGTAATTCTGTAGCCTTGGATTTTTTCAGCCTTGAACTTTAGCCACCCACCAGGGTGCCATTTAGATGCCCTTTATATAGTTATAAGAAAATGTGTTCCTCTTATAATGTGTTTTAGTATATACACCCTTCAATACTCAGAGTATTTAGAGATAAATCTCTAAATGGGTGTAAAGGTAACATTTTTTTTTTTACCT